ATTAATACCTTGTAGGCAATAATCCATATTTACGTATAGGTCACCTTGGTCTAACAAAGTAACAAGTATACCATATATGGACAATGCTTGGTAACCTTTGAAAAGGATGAAGTTAAGAAAAAATGGAGTGAAAGATTTGAAATATTAATAAGGGAACATTGTAATTTATTCTCCTCAATTATATGTTAATTATAAATGTCACTCTTAAAATTTTAAGTGGTATAAATGCTGTTCTTGAATTGTTGAACTTGTACGTTTATATATTGCCCTTCATTGAACGGAGCTATGAGATCCCGTTATCCATACCATTAAGTAAGATAAATTTAGTAATTTTTATTTTCATTTCTTTTTTTTTTACTGCATTCTTTTTCTCTTTCTCCTTAGATTTTTACTTACGTAAGGCTGAAATTGATTTTTAATTTTCTCCAGAAAACATGTTCTCACTTATATATATATACATATAATTGAAGAACATTATTTATTTATTTATCTATAAATTCCCAACATGAAGTGCAGTAGCAGGGCGAAAAGGCATGCAAATCCGCACATCAAGAACAGCATTGAGAAGCTCTTCAAGTGAAGCTGATTGACTTGAAGCTCTGTGTTTTGTGATTTGCAAGCACCTCTCAACAGCCACTTGTCATGGATCCTTTGAAGCTCTCCATTTTCTGACAATTCCTGAATTGCAGTTGACATGTCAACTGCCAGAGGAGAGCTTTTCGAAAAGGCCTTGCATTGTATCAACAAACAAAGATCCACTTAGATAAGATTATCATTTTATCAGTACAATTAAGTTGTAACAAATTAAATTACTTCTGAAATAGATGAAGCTACTATACTTACAAATCCAATTCCACTTCTGAAAAACTCTGAGCCTACAATACAGAATTCACAGTGGGTTGAGAGGAAGAGTTCCATATAAACACGCGCGTCTACCACAGCAGCAACACCACCTTTTCTGGGACCATCTCTTAAAGCTTTAGCATAATCTTCTGTCACGTTAAAAGGAATGAGCCTGGATTCATGAATGCCGAGTTCTTCAATCAGATAATTGCGAATAAATGAACCACGATGGTAACCAATGGTGTCGTTTGTTGTTAACAAACTTTCAATTCCTTTGATTGGGGAAAAAAGATGTTGAACCATGAGGATTGAGGTAAGGTTGGCTGTGTAACTGGAGTTTATAATTAAAACCACAAATAGCCACATCAGAAAGACAAGGCGGCCTAAGGTGCTGACGAGCATCACAGTGTTTTGTCCTGCACGGTTATAAAATAATCTCAATATAAAGCTTACCAAAAGAAAAAATAAATCACATAAGAATCTAGACAAACAAAAATCCACTTACTGTTGGCAGAGTAGAATGTAAAAAAACCAAACCTGAAAGGAAGTTAAATTATATGGTTTAATATTCATAATATATACTTCATTATGAAGAAAAAAGAAGTGAAGTCAAAGCCAAAAGTGGCAGTAAGATGTATGCTCTGATTGTTCATTTCAGTACAGAATGTATTTCTTGGACACTCACCAAAAAATAGTTTGAATTTGCTCTCTAGGAGGTCCACGAAAATCATCATTCATTCGATGCTCCAAAATCCAAATCGCTGCACCAATGAGAAGAAAAAACATTCCGGTGACACACCACATCATAGGAGTAAATGGCCTAAGAAAAGCCCAAGCACTAGAGCGCCTCCCTCTAACTGGTGCCACCACAACGAAGCCTGACCGAGTATAAGGCTGAGTGAAATCAACCATTTCTGTCCGATTACTTGTGATAGCAATGGTACCCACAGCTGCATCATAAACCTGAATTGACAGAACTCATAGTTAAGTGTACAACAAAGCCCAATATTAATATCGGTACAAAAGAACCTTTGTTTCCAAGACTCACCCCTTCAGTGACTAGGCCCACAAGTTCCGTATAGTTTGTCTCACCAAAGGGGAAGAATTTGAATGGTACAGCATATGGCAAATAGTTTAGTGCAGTTGTGAAGACCTCAATACAGTACCCTTTGAAAATATCAGTACCTGGTACCCGTTCAACAAATTCATTAAGGCCAGCTCGAATAGGGACTCCTACTTTCAGTGGACTTCCATAGTTTGGAAAGGCCCACCCTCGAGGTTTCTTTGTTGTTTCTCCTGTCCAGACCATGGGATATAGTTGTTGACTGGAACGCAAACGACTTGGCGGATAAGAGTAGATAGAGTCAGGACGCACTACTGATAACCCAGAGTAATTAGACCAGTAACCAACTTTCCTGATTCCAGTTCCAATCACATTAATAACTTCAAATGCAGGGTGATAGAGTTCCCGGTCTGAGGTGTATTTGAATAGCCCTGTCACACCAGTTATATTGGTCTTCAAGATGTTGTCAAGCAATAATTTCCCTCCATCAAAGACGTTCATAGAATAAAGATTTAAGCCCCCTCTATGTATAGGATCTCTTGAAAATGAAATGTTTCCACCTTGTTTAAAGAATGCATCAAGAGCACGAGCAAGTAGCCACACAGTGTCATAAGCATATAAACCATAAGTGCACATCCCTAAAGTACTATTAGTATCAATTCTTTTGGCCAAATCGCTCCACCTAGAGACGAACTTCCTCTTTCCTTCTGAATCTGGAACATATGTGCGTAATGTAATAGTTCCTTGAAGATTGCCCATTACCTCTGAAGAAAGGGGACCTATCGTGTCAAAGATAGTGGAGAGCCAATGCGTAGCAATCCACACATATCCACTTTCTGTCATTCCTAAATTCTTCGCCAGAGAAAATATATCCAGTCCCCTATGAGGATAAGTGTGAACAATAATAATTCGTGTTTCCGTTAAAGCCAGCTGAACTAACACATCCTCCACTTCGTCCAATGTTGCTTGAGGTTTCAAAGGTGCTTTATAAGAGATCTGACATCGCCTCATAGCTAGTTGATCTGCCAATGCATCAATGCCACTCCTTCCATAGTCATCATCTACATATATAGCAATCACTGCTTTCCAGTTATAGTATTCGACAATCGATGCTATTGCAGCCATCTGAAACATATCATTTGGTGAGGTCCTGACAAAGAATGGATACTGAAGTGAAGAGAGAGCAGGATCAGTGGCAGAAAAAGACAATAGAGGGACATGGAGCTCATTTGCAATGTGGGCAATCGCATGAGCTATGACTGAAGATTGGGGGCCAATTATGGCAACAGTGTCAGTCTCCATGTAACGTATAGCTGTTCATGAAAATCATATCCTTCTGATCAAATTCGAAAAGCTAGCTAGTCAAATTAATTCACAAATATATATTAGCAGTGAATTTACCTTCAACTATCCCCAGCAATCCACTGTTACTGTCATCAACAATGGTGATATCCAACTTTGTTCCTCCAAGAACAGCTGGATTAGAATTGATATCTTTTACTGCAGTTTCTATTACCGATTTTGCAATTTTACCAACGTCCGTTCTCAAAGTGAGAATACACCCAATGTTCACAACCCTAGGCCTTGCAGAAAGAGTTGAGTTAACTCCTTGGGGCAAATACCCAAAGTAGAAAACTGCAAACAGCAATGCCCCAAACAGTTTCATAATGAATTGAGTGATCAAAATTCAAAACCCCAGATTCCACCCTGTTACGTATAGAAACTAAACATCAATTCAATATCAAAATCCTACCATTGCCCAGCATAAAATTGTAGGCGTTATTCATACAATTCAAGGCTCAGAACAGCCAATATTAACTCAAACAAGCAGAAAAATGTAGTGAAGTTTACAGCATCAACTAATAACCATATCTATCTATCTACATAGCGCTGGGAGAGTTGTAATGAGTGAGAGTACACTGGTAAGGCTTCCTCCTAACTCTGCATTTCGAAGAGCAGGAGATAGTAATGTGCGAGTGAATTTAGATAGAACTTAACCTGGAATCTTAGCCTTTTGGAAATTTACTAACACCTAAAATCGATTTCCATGATTTTGATAAAAACAATCATACAAGTTTGATTGCGAGATGTGATCGATTCTTTAAGTTCTATCAAGTACTGAGGATACTAAAATGAAATATGAAAGTTTACATGTGAGGGGGGAATTCATTTCTATTTTCTAGCCAAACAAACTCTATCTTTAGTCATTTTCTTATAATTTTTAAATTTAATTTTGTTTTTTTATTTAACTTTACCTATAATATAAATTTTTTAAAATATTATTGACTCTATTACATTGTAGTATCTGTTCATCTATACTTTCTTAATCTGTTAAAACATAAAGAGCCAACACTGCTCCTACTGACCTCTAATATTTTTTTTTGAATGCCTACTGACCTCTAATATAATTTATAAAAATTGTCATATTAGAAGTGATTTTGTGAATGGTATATATAAGGATAAATAGTATTTTCGTATGTTATTCATAAATGCAGGTGAATATAGTTGGGATAATAAATAAAACAATACATCCAAAAATTTGGGGAGAAGAAAACATTCCATGCAATTCATAGGTGTAGAATCCCATGTGGGGGTAAAGGGGGCAGTTGCCCCCTCTCACCTCTCCCTACCCCTTATTTTTATATTTATATATATATATATATATATATATATATATATATATATATATAAAAGAAAAACAGAAAAGGTACAAGAAAGCTGCCAAATGACAGCTTTGCTACCATTTGGCAAATTTCCTTGTCCTTAGCATGCTAGACACTTAAGCAATAAAATTAAATTTAAAAAAAAAAATTTATTATATGTACTTTCAAATTCTACTCTTTCATATGTACTTCATGATATAATAAATAAAGATGTGATATTTTTATCATGTGGGTCTCAGAAAATGTGTCAAACATCAAAAATTTGTGAGAGAAAGTACAAATTAAGAGTAAGAAATGAAAGTATATATAGTATTTTCTTAAAAAGAAAATTAATTGACACAAAAGTATGCCACATCATCTTGTAAATGGTAAAATTTATGGGATGAGACAACTATTTTTTTTTTTTTTGAAAGGAAAATATTTCAATAAAATCAAGCAATTAAATGTTCAATACAAGAAGGGATATTAGAAAACCAATTAAGATGACCAGTATGAGAACTAGCAGCTCTAGCCAACACGTGAGCAAGCTTATTCACTGATCGATTGATATATTGAATGGACATTGATTCAAAGTGTCGTTTAAGAGATCGGCAATACTTGAGAACGCAACCTGCATAAGAATGATCTGGTAAGTCATTATTCAGAAACTTGCATACCAACTGACAGTCTGATTTTAGAAGAATGTTATGCCAGCCTTGTTCAAGAGTCCATGAAAGAGCTTCCTTAACAGCGAAAGTCTCTGCAAGATGAGGGTCTTTAAGACAACGAATTGGTCCACTTCTCGCTGCAATGAAACCACCATTGCTATCTCGAACTATTATGCCATAGAAACCATCTGTGCCACCAGGTGGTAGAGAGGCATCAACTTCCACCATTACTGCCAAAGAAGGTATGTTTAGAGACATATTTGAATTGCTAGGCATACCTTGATTAACATAGCCATGCATCACCACTATTAGTTGTTTGGTTCTTAAAATTTGGTTGCATAGTTATTTTAGCTTTTCCTATAGCTTTACAAGTGGGGAGGGACTTTATAAACTTTTTTTTTTTTTTATTCTTAATATATTTGTGATTCATATCAAATTTTGATATTTTGTCATATAAATTTTAGAATGGGCTTTATTCTAGTTTTTTTTTTTTTTTTTTTTTTTTTTTTTTTTTTTTTTTTTTTACCTTTAATATATTGTGTGCTTTATATCACATTTTGATATTTATTTTAATTTTTTATTTAGATTTATGGGTAGCAGTTCACTTTTAGTCATTTTTTTCTCGAACATTCACTTTTGGTCCTAATATTATTATGGCATAACTATTTTTTGTCCTCTATCAACACAACAGTTTAAATTTTATTAAATATAATGACATTTCGACCTTCAGTTATGAATTTTTTCAAAAATAAATAAATAAATATACAAAATATAACATGCCAGCCTACTTTATATATATATATATATATATATATATATATATATATATATATATATATATATATATAATCAAAATGTCCTTGTATTTAACGGTATTTCAACGATTTTGTTGGTAGAGGACAGAAAATGATCATGTCACAATAAGACTATGACCAAATGAGAATATTTTGATAAAAAATGACTAAAAGTTGATTGACAACTATAAATATAGGATCAAAAATAGAATTAATTCTTTTGTCATATATATACATTTTTGAATGGGCTTTATTCTAGTTTTTTTACCCTTAATATATTTGCTTTATATCAAATTTTAATATTTTGTCATAGACATTATTGAATTCATTTAAACTTCACCCTTACTTTGAAAAATTTCTGGATCTGTCATGGCTCAGAATGATAGAAAGTGTATGCATTCTCTGGAAAAGTGGAATAAATAGGAGCTTGCATGGGCAGTTGATAATTGGTGTTTGAGTGATATGATGAGCTTGCCCACAATTTACTTAGGCTGTGTTTGGTTTGCACATGAGAATCGGAATCGGAATGGGTATCAAATATTTGGTAATGGTAATGGGTTTTTGAGAAAGTATTTAACATGTTTGATAGTAGAGTGAAATGGGAATCGTTATTAATAGTAGTGCTTAAAAATGAAACCCTTATTTTATTTGGATATGTGTTTTTCAATTGATGGGGTGTTCGAAACCCATAATAGTATTTTAAAAACCTATCAACCAAACAATAACAATCCATTTCATACTCATTCCTATAAGTAAAACTCATCAATCAAACACACCCTTTATAGTCTTCTGCAAAAATAGTGAGAAGGACAAACTACAAACACCACGATCCAATAAAATGGACTAAAAGTAAGTAAAGAAATGGATATAAATAACGTTGGGTAAAGGTAGTAGCTTTTGTGGGGAATAGAAGAAGGGAGGAGAGAAACTAAAAAAGTGGTAGACAAATATGCATCAGATACTGCTGTCTGCTCAAAAGTGGAATGAGAAGTCTGCGAGAAGCATCTTGGGAGTAACTTCAAAAGTCCCACTTCCCAAAAGGCATCTTTTGAACCAACATCAACCAAGTACAACCACAAATGTATATCTTGAGTTCAGCTCCTGTTCGATTTGAGATGTGATTCTATGACTTATCATGAAGAAATATAATTAAATTATTAATGTTTACCTACTTATCACTAATTGGTTTTAAAAAAGATATGACAACCAGATAACCAAAAAACTTCGGAGTTAAGCGTGCTTGACTTACTAGGAAATAAGCATAGTGCAGAACCGAGATCACGAGTTCGAAGGCCCAAGCTCGATTTGAGACGTGGCGTTGTGGCCATCACTCCATAGTATGGCAAATATATACACACATATATATAGTATGTAAATAAATGAAATGAAATGAAATATCTTGTCCAATAGCCACAGTGCCTCAAACCAAGTAATATATACACCTTGAGAAGGGCTGTGGAAGTAGATATTCTATTCTGTACTGCTATTACCTCTAAAAAAGGAGTTATATACAAAAAGGAAAAGTTGCTATCTGTGCATTTGTGAAGCTTGGAACCATTCATTGTGCATCTTCACAGGTACTTCTAGCTGAAACACTCTCCAACTCCCTCTTTTTTGACCGACATTTCACCGAGTTTTCCTTTTCATCAGCGAACGACAGGAATGTCTGGAGCCGTGCCGTTCGTGAGCTTCCTCTAGAAGATGGCTCAGGCTCAGACTCAGGCTTGGAGTAATGTCGCATAAACTTGCGCGTTAACAGGGCAAAGTAGACCAGCAGGGCTAAAATGCATACTGATCCACTTATTAAGAAGAGACCCCAGAAGCTCTTCAGTTGAAGCCGGTTGTCTTCGAGCTTCGTGTTCTGTGATGTGCAAGCGCTCCTCAGCAGCCATTTGTCATGAATTCTTTGGAGCTCCCCGTCTTCTGACAATTTCAGAATCGCGGTTGACATGTCAACCGCCAGAGGAGAGTCCTTCGGGAAGGCCTAGTGTTAAAGAAACAAAAACTTAAATCATATGTGTGTAATATGGCATGCTCAAAGTGTTTCCAGTCGCCAATGACCTTGTGGTCTAGTAGCACCAAGTTATTCTAACAGAGTCAGTAGTATTGACTGACTCTTTGTGCTTCAGTAGGTTGAGAAAGTAGTTATGAACAGATACTGCATTGTAACAGAGTCAGCAGTATTGACCGACTCTTAGTAGTTATGAACAGATACTGCATTGTAACAGAGTCAGTAGCTCTTAGTAGTTATGAACAGATACTGCATTGTAACAGAAGTAGTTATGAACAGATACTGCATTGTAACAGAGTTAGTAGTACCAAAAGATAGAGGCTACTTACAAATCCCCATCCATTTCTGGTGAACTCTTGGCCTAGAATACTGAATTCACAGTGGGTAGAGAGGAAAAGTTCGATATAAGCACGTTCATCTACCACAGCTGCAACGCCACCTTTACCAGGGCCATCTTTTAAAGCCTTAGCATAATCTTCTGGCAGGTTAAGAGGAACGAGCCTAGATTCATCAATGCCAAGTTCTTCAATCAGATAATTACGAGCAAAAGAACCAAGCTGGTATCCGATGGGGTCATTTGTCGTCATCAAACTTTCGATTCCTTTAATTGGGGAAGAAAGATGCTGCACTGTTAGGATTGAGGTGAGGCTGGCAGTGTAACTCGAGGTGATTATTAAAACCACAAACAACCATATCACGAGGACCATGCGGCCTAAGGTGCTCACAGTGTTTTCTCCTGCAAGGTTACAAGATAATATTAGAAATTAAAATAACCTCATTATACAGCTAAACCAGCGGAAATCCACTTACTGTGGGAAAAGAAGAGCGTCGAAAGGCTAAACCTGAAATCGAAAATTTGCAAATTCAAGTTACTGAAGGGAAGTAAAATAATGTGCAAGTTCATTTTAGTTAAGAATATATTTCTTGGACACTCACCAAAAGATAGTTTCGATTTGCTTTCTAGGAGGTCCACGAAAATCATCGTTCATTCTATGTTCCAAAACCCAAACCACTGCCCCAATGACAAAAAAAAACATTCCCGTGATACACCACATCATAGGAGTAAATGGCCTAAGAAAAGCCCAAGCACTAGAGCCCCTCTCTTTAACCGGTGCCACCACAACTAGCCCCGAGTCAATATAAGGTTGCGTGAAATCAACCATCTTCGTGCGCTGAGTTGTGATTGCAATGTCACCCACAGCTGCACCATATACCTGAAACAACAGAACCCATCGTTAAGGGCCCAACAATTGTTGGAAATTATGGAATTTCCGACCACCTGAAAGTGATCTTAAATCAAGTTGAAAGCAAAAAGTGGTCAGAAATAGCAACAAAGGTTTTTCCGGATACCAAAAGTGATCGGAACAAGGCTTTCGACTTAATCCAAGATCACTTTAAGGTGGTCGGAAATTTCATAATTTTTAGTAGTAACAATATTGATATGGCGAAACCTTTGTTTTCTAAACTCACCCCTTCAGTGATTCCACGCACAAGCTCAGTACCATCCGGGTTGTTATGGCCATCTCCAAAGGGAACAAATTTGTACGGTACAGCATATGGCAAATAGTTTAGCGCAGCTGTGAAGACTTCAATACAGTAGCCTTTGAACATATCAGAACCCGGTGCCCGTTCAACAAATTCAAGAAAGCTAGCTCGGTTAGGGACTCCAACTCTCAGTTGCCTCCCGTTGTTTGGAAAAACCCACCCTCGAGGCTTCTGTGTAGTCTGTCCTGCCCAGATTACGGGATACAGTTTTTGACTCGAAAGTGAATGATTCGGTGGAAAAGAGTAGAGTGAATCGGGAGGCACTACAGATAACCCAGAGTAGTTAGACCAGTAACCAACTTTCCTAATTCCATTTCCAACAACATTAATAACTTCAAATGCAGGGCGATAGAGTTCCTTGTCCTGGGTAAATTTAAACAGTCCTGTCACTCCAGTTACGTTGGTCTTCAAAATCTCGTCGAGTAATAACTTCCCCCCGTCAAAAATGTTCATAGAAATGTTTAACCCTCCACTACCCGCTTCTTCTAGCCTAGGATCTACCGAAAAAGAAATATTTCCACCTTGTTTAAAGAACGCATCAAGAGCATAGGCAAGTAACCGCACAGTGTCATATGCATACAGACCGTAAGTGCTCAACCCCAAACGCCTATCGGTCCCAAACCTTTTTATCAAATTGCTCCATCTCGAGGTAAAGTTCCTCTTTGGTTCAGAATCTGGAATATACGGGCGAAATGTAATAGCTCCTTCAATATTGTCCATTATAAGGGGACCATTTGTGTCAAGGTAAGTCGAGAGCCAGTATGTAGCAATCCACACGAATCCACTCTCGGCCATCCCTAAATTCTTCCCCAGAGAAAATATCGTCAGTCCCTCGGGGGTATAAGTGTGAACGATAAGAATTCGTGATTCAGTTAAAGCCACCTGAACTAACACATCCCTCATGTCATCAATCGTTGCTTCGGGCTTCAAAGGTGCTTTATAAGAGATCCGGCACCGCCTCATGGCAAGTTGATCCGCTAATGCCCCGATGCCGTTCCTCCCATAATCATCATCTACATAGATAGCATTCACTTCTCTCCATCCATAGTGCTCGATAATCGAAGCTATGGCAGCCATCTGGAACAAATCGTTCTGTGAGGTCCTAACGAAGAACGGGTACTGAAGCGAAGAGAGAGTGGGATCAGAGGCAGCGAAAGACAATAGAGGGACTCGGAGCTCGTTTGCAATGTGGGAAATCACGTGAGCTATTACTGAAGATTGGGGGCCGAGTATTGCTACCGTTTCAGTCTCCATGAACCGTATAGCTGTTGATGATAATTTATCAAATATTAACTAATGGAAATCCTTCCAATCCTTCCAATTAACCAAATACTAAAAGCTATATAGGTCTCAGAAGTGATCGAATTTATTTACCTTCAACTATCCCAAGAAATCCACTGGAATTGCTATCAAGCATATTGAGATTCAACTTGGTTCCTCCAAGAACAGTTGGATCAGAATTCACATCCTCAACTGCAGCTTCCACAGCTACTTTTGCAACTTTACCCACATCAGAATTAAAGGTGAGAATACACCCAATATTCACAACACCAGGCCTAGTAGAAGAAAGGGTTGAGTTTACCCCTTCTGACAAATACCCATTGTATAAAACTGCAAATATCAATGCCCAAAACAGTTTCATGATCAACACCCCAGATTTCACCCTGTTTTGCACATAAAAGTAACAAATTTGTATCATATGGAATACTAATTAAGGAAATTAAACATCAATGGAATGTCAAAATCATACAGTGTGGAAGAAATTCATTGTGTCTGAAGTCAAAAAATTCCACTGATAATGTAAGTAAATTTTCCAGGAAAAGAAGAACATGAAATAAAGCCTTGTTCAGATAATAAAAGCTCAGAAAAGGCAGTTTCCGACTTTCAGCTCAAGAAAACAGATAAAATAGTAAGGTTTACAGAATCAACAAAAAAGCAGATTGACCTACACAGTAGCGGGCCGGAGAGATAAATTAATGATTCTTCCTAACCCAATAAGGAGTGTAGGTTGAAGAAAGGCATATTCTTTGAAGTATCAATAGAGCAGACAAAAGTAATATGCATAGAATATCAGAAATAAAAGGTTTAAAAAGTAAAATCTTGCGTGTAGGGACAAACATTTATCATATTAAAAGTGAAAGATAGATCCTTAATGCAACGAACTTGAAACTAAAAAGAATGGAGCAATTCTTTTTCCAAAAAATAATGAAAACAAGGTAACCAAAAAAAAAAACAAAAAAGAAGATAAAGTTTCAAGAATGGCGAAGAGTACAGTGGGGCATTTGTACCAGATTATCTTCATTTCTTCCATTGTCTTTAATTTCCTGAAACCTCATGGAATTCATATGTGGTGTATATAGTTTGGATTGTCTCTTTGTCTTTGAAACAATTGAAAGGTGAAATTGTGAGTTGTCAGCATTGTGATGTAGGTCGTACTGTTCATACATGCCTGTCTTAGTTCAGTGGAATAGAAATAGTGGAGAGTGTGAAAATGATGGATTCTTATGGTGGTCATGGCCATTAAATATCTTATCAAGATTCAAGTATGGTATATATATAATTAAATAATAAATGTGTAACTTTATTAATAATTTACATTTTTAATACAAATGAATCACATCTAAAATTCACTTTATTATAAACAAATTAGAATTATTTGACTATCTCGTTTAGTGATGTAATCGAGTTGAATTGAACACGAATAATTAAAGTTTACAATATACTTTGTGAAGTTATTAGGTCTAGGGGCATTCCAAATTGATAAATTATTAATAATTAGAGTTAAACCCAAATCTCAATTTATTTATTAACTGTAACAAATTGTTAGATTAAATTATATATATATATATATATATATATATATATATATATTTTAAAAAAAAGTTGAGGGAATGATGCAATATGCGTGTACCAAATAGCAAGTGGGGAGAATATGAAATTATTATTCCGCGTAAAAGCACACACGCTTTAAAGATGGTGGTCCCAGGTCCTACATAGAAGTAGACTAAATTGTCCAATTAAATGTCAAATTGCGGAATAAGGAAACCATGATAAGAGTTGTTGGAACTTGGAAACATTTTTAGTAAAATATTTTAAGGAACTGTGTCTCAAGATTTGTAAGACGTAAGAGGATATATAATACTATATTATATACTTTTGTGGGACAAAAGGAGTCAATATTAACACGCCAATATAATGGGCATGTGTTATTTCAAACTTAATAAATATTCATTATTTGAAAATTTTAATATTATTTTTCACAATTATGAATAAATAATATGTATTACTCAATTAAATAATGATTATCTTTGTTTCAAAATAATAATAATAATAATGATAGTGTAACTAAGAAAAAATAAATATAAACTAATTACCTTTGTAAAAGATAAATTAAAATAATTATACTATTACCCATGCTAATGTGAGTCTCAAACATACTCTTAATAATTCCCAAAAAAATGTGAATCATAATTTTTATTTATTTATTTTTCTTTTCCTTGCTCCAATAAACTTATATTGTTGTACATTTGACAATAGTTTTACTCGCTTAAAATATAATTATAATCTCTTGAATAAAAAAATAATAGACATATTAATGAATAATAAATTTGTCATATTTGTAATTATGATGGGTTGAAAAATAAAATGAAAGAAAGAAAAAAAAAAAAGCCTCTTAAAAGTTTAGAATCAATATCATCAACAACACCATTAAGGAGGTCAATAGCATAGGGACCATAAAATTTCATTGGGGGAGACAATGTATTCCAACGGCGGTTTTTATTTCATCAATAAGACTGTGTTTGGAAACTCAGAAAATAATTCTTGGAAATCTTTTTTTCGGGTTTTTCATGTTTGGAAGGGATTGGAAAATCCAGTCAACGAAAAATATTTTCTATTAACGGGTGAAAACCAAGCCAATTTGGCAGAAAATGACCAACAATGTTTACGGCAAAAACCTTAAAAAAAAACGATAGCACGAGAGGAAGGGAACCAGAGAGAACTCCTTTCTTGTTTCCGGCGAGGGAAACCAGAGAAAAGTTCTCTCTGGTTTTCGATGTCTTTTTTGTGTTTTTTTTTTTTTAACTTTGTAATAATTAATATTATTTGATTTCAGAAATAAATATCATTATAAATATTTTTATTTTAAACAAAATAATTAATTATATAAAATGTTTAATTATACAATTTTACCTCATTTTCCATAAAATGAACCAAATACACAAAGACAGTTTTCTGTTGTGCTGCCAAATACGAGAAAGGAAAATGTTTTTCGAAAAATGACTAATTTTTCAGAAAACATTTTCCAAAAGTCATTTTCTTGCTTTCCACACGGACCCTAAATATTTTGCAACAAGCAAAATGATGACATGATGTTTCACCACAAATATATCATTATTTTAAGGAAAAATGACACTTTTTCCCTTGAATTATATGTTTATAGCACATTTTCTCTCTGAATTATTCATGTAAGCATATTAGCCCCCTCAATTATTCTAAAAGTGGCGATTTCCCCCCTGATATATTAAATTGACATTTCTACCCTTGAATTATACATTTCATTTATTTTTCTTATCCAACAAATTATTGCCTATACGTAGGGATGACCACGGTTCAGTTCGAACTGAACTGGACACTATAGCAATCGAATTGAATGTTTCCGGTTATGATTCAGATCCAGAACCCCAATATTTGGATTTCAGTTTATTAAAATCATGAATCAAAAAAAATAGATTTTGAACCGTGAACCGGTGGTTCGAATTGGAACAACTACTAGCATTAGTTTAAAATTAGAATTATAATAATATTTACAAATAGTGTATGTTCTTTTTTACATTTATTCTGATTCTCACATATAAGTATATATGACTGCGATTTGGTTTTGATTTTGAATCGCCGGTTCACGATTCTTGATCCAGTTTGAACTGCTGGTTCAAACTTTATTTTAAAATTTTATTTTTTGTTTTTAAAATAATCTAAATTCAACAATAAATATATTTTATTTTTTTCATTTCGCAACATCAATCGACCTTTCCAGTTCGCGATTTTAATAAACTCTAAATATCGGATTTCGATTCTAAATTGTAATCGGAATATTTCGGTTTGGTTGTGTCTGTTCGGTTTGAACGTTCAAACCATTATCATAATTTGTTAGAGAAGAAAAATAAATGAAATATTTATTTTAAGGGTAAATATGTCCATTTAACATTTCAGGAAAAAAAAAAAAATTCCGCTTGACTAATTCATGGAGAAAAAGTGCTATAAATATATAACTTAGAGAGAAAAAAATGCTATTTTTTTTTCTATTGTAAATTGTGATGGATTCTTCATAATTTACCTACATAAAATTTCGAAGGCATTTTCATGTTTTCTTGTATCAATATAATTATAATTATATTATTGGTACGATAATATAAAAGAAAAAAAACTAGCAATTAGCAAACAAATGATGATAAAATATTTATACAAACTATAAAAACGTTACATTTATATGAAGTATCTAATATTTTCATTTGAATACACTAATACAATTATATTTGTGCATTTTTTAGATTCAAAATTCTAATACAACCATTATTATTTAATAATAATAATAATAATATATTTATGACTATATTTAAAATTGTATTTATTTGACTTAGAATTTGGTCAATTAATTGTAATTAATAACTATTTAAAATTTTTTTAATACATTATTATATTGTATTAGTAATAATTTACCTTTATTCAAATTTTTGAGGGCTAAGTTTTTTTTTTTTTTTTTTTTTTTTTACTACTGACTTATTATATATTTACACATTAATGCATATGGTAACTACAAAACACATATAAATACATAAAAAAAAATTAATAAGAAAATATCAAATTTAATGAGATTTGACAAAAATTATACCAAATTTAAATTTGAAATAAAGGAAGTGGCCAAAATAATCACAAACACAATTTATGTACCAAACATACATTCTTCCAAAGAATGAGGCAAAAACAGTAGGCTGACTGGGTCGGAGGGTGGTCAACTAAAATACCTGCCACCCGAAAGCCATCCACGTGTCAAGAACCCAATGCCTCCAAATCCCCACGCTAGCTCAAAGCTGGGATCGCCACTCCAACTCTCTTCAACGTCATCCTTACGTCCATGTCCCCTTCTCTTTTCTCTTGCAACTCTTCCCTGCGTCTTCACTTTTTTACATTTGCCCTAATCTTTCCGTCTTCTTTCTTTCTATTTTCTTGTTTTTTTTTTTTTTTTTTTGGGTCACATTCTAGACAATTTTACTTTGTTTTATCAAAAACAGAGAAAATAAAGGTACAATCTTGGCATGTGGGTGTCTTTGTTTCTTTGTAAAACCCGGAAACTGGAGAGAGTTTTTTTTATCATCGTAGCTACGCAACTTCCTGGCCAAAATGTCGGTTCTTTGAGTTAGGATCGAGGCCCAAGAAGCGAGGAATGGCTTAAGGCTTACAAGAAAACTGGAAATGGATTGAATTGGTGGGTTGGTTTGGTTTGGTTTGGAAGGAAAAATGGCTACAGCAACTAGTCTGCGATGCTGCAATGCGGAATTAGATAATGGAATCTGCAAGGAGAAGAAGATAGTTTCAACAGAAGTTGAGAATCATGAGGAATCTGAGCATGGAAGGGCGGGGAAGCCGCCTAGGAATCGTCCAATGATGCATCATTCTATCAGCCAAGCAGCATTGACAGGTACCTGTATATTGGTGAGTGGATCCCTTTTTGCTGTACAATATAATGGTTCAAGTCTAATTCCTTCAATTTGGGATTTTTCAAGCTAAGTTTCTTGAAAAAAACAAAAATGACAAAAAGATATGATTATTCAGATTTTATGTTGGTTTGAAGATTAATGGAATAAGACCCAGTTTTTGCAGTGTCTGTAAATCACAAAGCTTAGATAGCTCTGTTATTGTATTGTCTTGGAGAAGGAGAAGGCAATTGATTCAATGAGATTTTCTTGGAATTATTCCATTCTTGAATGACTTTGATGACATAATTTTGCAAGAAGAGCTTATACCTTTACACATTTCATGAACTCTCATTTCTTTGTTTTATGTGGCTTTAGATCATACAAGTTTATATTTGAATATGTGGGTTGAAAATTATTGGACATATAGTATATTAGGTTAGAACCTTAGTGGGGCTCTTTAGGTAAGTGGTTACTATTGGTATGTTAATTGAAACTCATCTTTGTTCTATTTGATGTCGAGGCATTAACAGCTCAAATTATTGGTTTTAAGCCACCGGCAAGTGACAACCCTGGGGTTTTCCCTGTCTTCCGCTCTGGAAGCTGCTCTGAAATGGGACCAAAAACGTACATGGAAGATGAATACATTTGTGTAGATGATCTTCATCAGCATCTTGATGTGACCCGTAAATTTCCTTCTCCTGGTGCATTTTATGGGGTATGCCTTCGTTTCGTTTCGTTTAGTAGCACATATCACGTGATTGAACATTCGTGCTGCTTGACTTTTAATCCCTAACTTTATTTTCAGGTTTTTGATGGGCATGGTGGCGTTGATGCTGCATCGTACACTAAAATGAATCTCCTTAAGCTCATTGTTGAAGATTCTGATTTTCCATTAGCGATGAAAAAAGCTATCAAGAATGCTTTTTTGAAAGCCGATTTTGAACTGGCTGATGCTAAGTCTCTCGACAGTTCCTCGGGGACAACTGCACTAACTGCACTTATGTTAGGAAGGTAAGAAACCAACCCGCCTTTCTAGTTAGTCTTTCTATTACCATTTACCCACCCGGTGATTATTCACTAAAATGTTTTGTGATTCCAATGCACAGAACCATGTTAATTGCTAATGCTGGAGACTCTCGAGCTGTATTAGGTAAACGGGGAATAGCAATTGAATTATCAAAAGACCACAAACCAAATTGTACTTCTGAAAGGCTGAGAATTGAGAAACTGGGAGGCTCGATATATGATGGTTATCTCAATGGCCAACTTTCAGTTGCGCGTGCTCTTGGTGACTGGCACATCAAGGGCCCCAAAGGTTCAAAATGCCCGTTAAGCTCAGAGCCCGAGTTTGAGGAGTTGGTCTTGACAGAAGAGGACGAGTTCTTGATAATGGGGTGTGATGGTTTGTGGGATGTTATGAGCAGCCAATACGCAGTGACAATCGTGAGAAAGGAGCTAATGCTTCATAACGATCCAGTGAAATGCTCGAGAACACTGGTTAGGGAGGCACTCAAGCGCAACACATGTGATAATCTAACTGTTCTTGTCGTGTGCTTCTCCCCCGATCCACCCCCACAAATCGTAATCCCAAGATCCGGGAGGAGACGAAGCATATCAGCTGAAGGGATAGATCTTTTAAAGGGTGTCTTGGGTGGCATATAAAGACAATTCTAGTTATAAACAGATGAATATGGAGCCATATTTACTGTTTTGATGTTTCTGAGGGTATCTGTTCTTCATTCTTGACTTCATTGGAGCTTGTGTGTCATTTTGACCCTTAGAATTTCATTGTTCAAATTCAATAAGAAAATAATCCCCTCTTCTCTTCTAGAATAACTTCCAAGATTGTCTACTCCTGGAGTTACTGTTCACAGCGAGGCATCTTGTTAAACCGAGTAATCTCAAGATTTGCAGTCCTAGTAGTTTTCCAGACATGTTTGAGAACTAGATGGCGCAATGTTGACTGCTCCGATACAGAATGTCAGATCACTACTGTCTCCTAAAGTAATAGACTACGTTTTAGTTTATCGTTTATCATGTAATAGGAACATATAACAGCCTTTACTTCCTCAACCATCGTGTTATTATATAGACGCTAGGTAACTTGTGAAACAAAGTGTTTTGTGGTATGATGAAATTTTTATTATATACATTTGTTTATGTTTCCTCGTATTATTTGCGGGTCTCAGTGTACTAGTGTTGTAAACGAGGAATTATGCTCACTTCTTCTGAAACTGCGAAATCTCTTGCTATTTTTCATACATGACAGACAGTCTTATGCAGTTAGGATCAAGAAAAGATCTTTACTAATGGCAACGAAGAATTACATGAGTAAAGGGCATAATGAGATAACACAGACACAACCAAACAAGTATTCAAAAGACTAGAAACATAGAACTACACACATAGGACTCTGCAGAACCATGTTGTTGCAGACTTGCAGCCCAGTCTTAGTTTGATGGAGGCGGGGAGAGGGTGGGAATCGCGGGGATGGTGGTGGGCAGGGGAGGAAGGGTGAGTTTTGGAGCGGAGGGTAAGGTTGGAATGTTGGGGATTGTTGGCAGAGGCAGAGAGGGGATTGTAGGCAATGAGGGCTGAGGTAGGGAGGGGATCCCGGCCCCGGGAAGTTGGAATAGGAGGCGAGCGGCAAGGGTGGTGTGGATGCTTGAGAGGGAGAGTGTAATGATGAGAGAAAGAAGAAAGCAGTTGTTGAAAGAAGCAGCCATTGGTTTTTGTTTTGGAGAAACTGAGAGGGGGTTTGTGTGATGTTGTAGCTTGAGTTAATGGCAAAATCTTGATTGATGTGTATATATATAGGGGGAGTTGTGGGGAAGGGTTTAAGGATTTGATGAAATGGGGCTGTGAAGGAAGATGTTATTGGTCGAGTTTATTATAGTGATATTTGAGGTGAATAGAGAAACTCACAGTCATTATCCGATAGTGTATACTGGGTAACTGTAAATCCCGTTTTCTGATCCTAGTCGACAAAGGACCACAATGAAGTAAATCAGCATAGGTTGTTTATAACTGACCGGTTCAAATTGAAAAGGCTGAGATTCAAACTCGTGACCTTGTGGTTATTATTATAATTTATAATAATATTTGAATTTACAGCGATGCTGAACAATTCAGTAGGTGAACTAACTAGTGCATGTCTTCATAATCTGTTCAGCTACAAACTTTTTATTTCTCCTGTGATGTGGTCAGCAGGAGACAACTGTCTCGTGAGTCAAGCCCATGAGGAGGAGGTAAGAGGAACTTGCCCATATTCACAAGGAGGTAAGTTCGAGACTCAATATCATACTATACACTTCTAGGCATAATGAATTTATTGTAAACTCACAAATATTTGTTTGTGGTAGGGATCGAATCCCCACCCTATTGCTAAAAGTAAGTCCGCTTTCCATCCACTAGACCAACATTCAAAGGGGTTTTCTCTTTTTAATTCTTGAGTCATCAAAATGATAATGGTGATAATAATGTAGCAGTGCATTATCCTTTTCATGTGATTATAAAGGTCACCCTCGATCTATTATAATGAAAGGAGCATTCAAGTTTTTAATTCTTGAGTCATCAAAACATTTGTTTCATCCATTCTCTTTTTCTTTTCATTTGGCAATATAAAAATCTAAATTACATACTAACCAGAGTAACTCCAAGCAAAGCTGCCAGACTAAAACCAATATCTAAAGTACAAGAAATGGTGTTGGAAAGGACAAAAGAGTTTGATTGCTTTGTCCTCTCCCGCTCCTCCTCATTCTCCTTCCTTCCATCTCTCCATCTTCACAGCTCAGACACTATATTGGCGCCAAATGTTTCTGGTACAACTAGAGATAATGTATGCTTCTAGGCTATCTTGTAGAATATTCAGTCTTTCGAGAATTGAAGCTAAGGTAGGAATCAAGAGTAGGCTTGGTTATGACTTATGTGCAGGGCCAGAGCGTACAAGCTTAAAGCTTAAAGCTTTTAATCTCAGAAGCTGGGCTAGTATCCCAGTAGTTTTGGCCTTTTTGGGTCTGCCAAATTTATAAATTTTGTTCATCTTTGCATGAATCGAGCTTCTATATAGGTCGGACAATTTCTTTTCAAGACTAAGTTTAAATTCATGACATTCAAGTATATTAATGTAGCACTAAGGATTTAAGCTTAATTAGTTCATTACCTAATTTAAAAATCATAATTAGAGATAGCAATGGAATGGAATGAGAGTAAGCGTGAATAGGCAGTATACTATCAGTCTTCGTCTCTAAAATTTCGACCCCGTCTCTATCCCTATTTCCGGCGGGGAATTGAGCAGGGACAGAAATTTTTCAATTCTCGTTCCCAATTAATTCTTAATCAAAATATTAAATTAGTGTAATTTTTAATTTTAAAAACTAAAACCTAAGTCTTAATTTTAAAAAATTAACACACACACACACACATATATATACATATATACAGATTTTGGATCCGCCGAGGTTACCTTTATCAGGCGAGGTGGTGAGGCTTGATCTGGTGCGTTTATTTGGGTTTTTGGATGGATTAGATTTAGCTGAATATAATGTCTTGTGCGTGTGATTTATTTGCATGTAGGGGTGTTGTTGTCTTTTTGGTAGTGTCTTAATTAGGGTGTAATAATTAATTAGCAGATTTTATGGGCTTGTGCACTACTTAATTATGGTATTGTATCGGGTGTGTGCAATTTGTTTTCCCGTGTGTGCATTTGGCTTCAATTCTTTGTTATGCTGTGTGTGCAATTTGTTTTCCCGTGTGTACGTTTGGCTTAAATTCTTTGTTATGACGAGTATGATCAATCAGCAGTATGGTTGTGGTTTTTGTTGCATGTTGATTCCGTTATTCAATTTAAAAATTAATGAACAGAAGCTTGCGTTGTGTTATGAAATTTTTCTGTGTGCATTTTATGTGTTCGGCTTGTGCGTTGGGTCACAAATAGGTTGACAAGTTTTCAGGCCAAATATCTCTTATTTGGACTGTCAACTAGAATTGAGGCAAACTTTTACCATATTTTTATAGCTTGGTTATTGTTTTTTTACGTAAATCAATTTTGGTATGTGTATTTTAATTTTAACATGTTATGATCTATTAATTGTTGGTGTGTTGTTATTTTATATATTTATTTGGTGTTTTTTGTTGTTATGGTCTGTGCGATTGAGGTTTACAAGGGGTGTTTTTTTTTTTTTTTTTTTTTTTTTTTTTTTGGGTTTAAAATTTACACTGGGGAAAGTAGGTCTGACGTTTGTTCGGTTTAGTTTTTGGGCTTGTGCGTTGGGTTCTTAACTCAACGCACCGACTTAACTAAATGGCTGCACAGACAGAACATAACCCATAACACACTTCTATTAAGGTTGCACATACCTCTTTCCGGTTGCACCTTCATTGTTGAGGAGATATCCCACCACAAAACACTATTGCTGAATACAAATGTTTAAATACAACTCACACTCTATCAACAATAATTTATAACCGTAAATATATTATTCAACACCATAATTAGTTGATCCTTAGCATGGAATATATTCCAATCTATTCCTAACCATATCTATATCTATATATATAAAAGTAAAATCCTCCTATTTCATTTTCCCGCCCAAACTTTTATAGTAAAACTTATTTGGTAACTAAATGTAAAATAGAAATTAATTAAAATCTATTAATTGATAATATTGTTTCCATATTCACGTATTAACCTAATTGGTAAATCTATTAATTGGTTAAAATTTTTCCTTATATTTATTTATTCATTCTTTTATATTGAGTAAGTATATATAGAGATATAGATATGTATACTAACATACAACTGTTACGGCTCCAATGTTTATTCTTGCCCAGGGTATTTCTCCATTGAAGACTTGCAGAGCTATTAGATTGCAATTGGTGCGCACCTATATGAAGTCTCATAGAGAAAGGAGAGTGAATCCATAAAATCTAGAGAGTGCACTCTTCACGTTCAAGAGGTATTTTTTTTTTTCAATTTTGCTTTTTTTTTATACGACTCCAATGTTTATTCTTGCCTAGGATATTTCTCCATTGAAGACTTTCAAAGCTATTAGATGGTGATTGGTGTGCACCTATATGAGGTCCCATAGAGAAAGGGGAGTGATTCCATAAAATCTAGAGAGTGCATATTTCCCGATTAAATGGTATTTTTTTCGATTTTGCTTTTTTCTAGAACTCGTGTTGTATATGAAATTGGGAAAAAGATGCATTACAAAGCTGCTTCCTATACTGCAAAAATAAATTACAAAATAACACTTTTCTTTTTTACTTCATTGTAGGAAACTTCATGCTCATATACCAAGGGAACATGTTGGTAAGTACTGTAAGCTTTTCAAACAATGAAAAGTTTATGCCATTAAAAATTTTATGGTGATAAGTATTTTCTATATTTTCAAAAAATGCACTCATTATTTTATGTTGTAATTCCACTATGGTACTTTGGTTAAAGGATATAAAAAAATGACAACTTTTCTAGACAAATTTATTTATTGAAATCATTTTCATCTTTGAAGTCTGTAGATGATAAACAATTCATTGGTAAGTTTCATTTACAATTTTAATCTACATCTGAATTCTTTTTTTTTATTATTAACATGTTTGACGTTATTGGTAGGGTCGTTGAGATATACTCCCCATTGGATAAGATCATTGCAGGGAAGCTTTCTTAACTTATTGATTTTCTAATTATACGTGGATACAAAGTAAATTATCTAATTTTGTTATTTTTATTGTATTTTGTATATGTATTTTTTATTAAGAACTCCGTAGTTTATTTGTTTATAGGGACAATCAATTGAAAGCTACAGTGTGGGATCAACATATACCAAGGCCAAGAATTGAAACCTTTTTTTTTTTTTTTTTTTTTTTAATTCTGGCCTTGCAAATCTTATGATTGTTCTTATGCAATTGTGTAGAGTTAAAAAATAATACGAAGACTTAATCTAAACACAAGTATTTTAATTTTTCTTTATATTTGAAAGTGTTTGAATAAGGACAAGTAATGAATGTTCTTTTTGATTAGCCAGTTATGTCAAGATATGTAACTCTTTGATACACAACTCCTTTTCAATCAGGATTTTCAGAGTTTTGTGATTTTTTGGAAAGGTAAATTTATTATGTCTTAATCATTATCATAATGTTTTTATCATTTATTTTTGTACATATTTTGTTTATGATTGTCAGTTTTTTTTTCAGTTTATGTGTTGATTAGACCCCTCTAATAAAAATTATGGATATTTATGAGATGATTGGGGTAAACAATAGCAATAATTTTTTTTTTTTAAATTGATGCAGTGGCATCAAATTAGAAAATCATCTTTTTCCACTTTTTAAAATGTTTTATTAGTATAAATTGTCACACTTTAAAATGTATTTTTTTTAATGTTAATAAATAAATTAGCTTAAAATAATACATTAAAATCTAAAGGATAAGCAAAGTATAATTTAAAGTATAAAATAAAGCCAAAATTGTACATGCTTGCAAAGTGATGGAGCATTGTAATAATCTTAGTGCATCCAAATAAAGGCATCATATAACTGATTATTTCTTTCTTATCTCACATTAACAGGGCGTTTGGTTGGAGGGGAGGAATTATGTGGGAAAGGAATTGTAATTTCATGGGAGTTGAATTACTGGGAATAAAGTGGGAATTTAAATTCCAGTGTTTGGTTGATAGGAATAGAATTACTGAGAATTTCAATCCCAATGTTTGGTATACATGGGAATTGAAAGGGAATAAGTAGTATAAAGTCAAAAATGTCCATTATTGTTGTTAGACATTAATTTTAGGTTAAAAAAGGAAGGGTTAATTTTGACTCATCACTATCTTTTTTTCCCAGGAATTAAAATACCAGGGGGGGACATGGGATTTTAATTCCATGAAAATGGGGGAATTGCAATTCCATGGAATTGTAATTCCCTCCAACCAAACTACGGAATTTAATGGCCTTTGGAATTATGTGGAAATTAAGTGGGAAGGGAATTTAAACTCCCTCCAACCAAACGCCCTGTAAAGGTTCAATACTGCATATATATATATATATATATATATATATATATATATATATATATATATATATATATATAGAATGTAACTAATATATCTGAAAGTAAAATTTGAGCTCAAATTTTACTTTCAGATATATTAGTTACATTCTATATATATATATATATATATATATATATAAAAGTAAAATCCTCCTATTTCATTTTCTCGCCCAAACTTTTGTAGTAAAACTTATTTGGTAACTAAATGTAAAATAGAAATTAATTAAAATCTATTAATTGATAATATTGTTTCCATATTCACGTATTAATCTAATTGGTAAATCTATTAATTGGTAAAAAATTTTCCTTATATTTATTTATTCATTCTTTTATATTGAGTAAGTATATATAGAGATATAGATATGTATACTAACATACAACTGTTACGGCTCCAATGTTTATTCTTGCCCAGGATATTTCTCCATTGAAAACTTGCAGAGCTATTAGACTGCAATTGGTGCGCACCTATACTATAATTAAAAACAAAATCCTATTTATTTGATTTCCTGTCCAAACAATAGTAAATAGTAAAGGTAAATTAAAAAAAAAAAAAGAATGAAAAAAATGAACATAAATATTTCACAATAATATTCTACATCATCAATTAAAAATGGAATGGAAATTAGGTAAATTGGAAAAAGAAATGAATATTAATAATTTACTGAAAATTAAAAATGAAAAAAAGAAATTGAAGTTAGGTTAATTGGAAAAGGAAATGATTATTAATAATTGACTAAAAATAAAAATGATCCATAATTGACTAAAATGAAAAAGAAAATGTTCAGATCATTGCATTTAAATTTTTCACAATAATATTATACAATATAATACATCAAATCACAATTATGTCATAAATCTTTCACAATTTTAAACAATGAAATAGAAATTAAAAATAGAACGCAAATATTTTAATAATAATATTCTACATCATCAAGTAAAAGTAAATTAAAAATAAAAAGGAAATATTTACATAATAATATTCTATATCATCAATAGTAAAAGCATATTTTAAACAATAGTAAAGGTAAATTAAAAAAGAAACAAAAATTAAAAATGAAACCGGAATATTTCAATAATAATATTATACATCATCAATTAAAAATGAAACGAAAATTAGGTAAAAATATCACTGTTGAATGAGAACAAAATAAAATAAAAAGAATAATTGGCTGAAAATGAATATGACATTACAAATTGACTAAAATATAAAAAGAAATGAATACTAATAGTTGACTGCAAATAAAAAATGATCCATAATTGATTAATATGAAA